GATTAAGGGTGCTGTGGAATATTGCCGCAAGCATGGGTTGGTGAGGACCGTTTCTCAATTGCAGCCTTAGGTAGCTGTTTGTGGAAGAATTGCTTCTGGAAGGAAAAACAAATACAACCCGGACGAGGAGGAGTTTTACATTGACATTTCTGAGACAGGTAATTATGCGGAGAATGAAGACCAAATCGAGAGAACCGAGCAAGAGAAAGAGGTTCATTCATAGATGTCTTTTCTGCTTTGATGTTTTGTCCAATGGAGTAACATTCTGTTGTGTCAGGGGGTCAAAAAACACACTTGTGCAGGTGGACAAGGATACCAACTTAGATGCACCAGAGTTCTTGAAGGATGGTGAACACCAGAATGAACCCAATGGAAAAGACACCAAGGAGATGAAGGCACATGGTACCTACGTGTTTTTTGTTACTACAGATCTGCGCACACGTGTTTGTTTCCACAACAGGCTTTATCTTTTGCAAATGAGGCAAGCGCGGGTCTTGATGCTTTCATGAATTCCCTCCTGTCCCGGACATCCAAGCTTCATTCGTTGGTGGCAGACCTTCGGAAGAACCACTCAAATGATTCTTCCGCACAGAAGTCTCCCAGCAGTATGTTTGTTGGTTGTGTATATGGATATTTTATGTTTTTTGTGCGCTGTCCATTTAAGGTCCATGACCGAGTTGTCCCAGAAGTGCGAGCTACTCTCGACAGAGTATGACAAGCTTGTACTCCTGAAAACAAAGCTTGACCTGAAGGGTTCCAACAAGACGCTACCTGCTCATATTTAATATCATACGTGTATTTTTAAAACAGTGATGATGATATATGCGCGGTTCAAGCAAACCCAGGCTTGAAGAGGAGATTGAATCCCAAATGGAAGCAACAACTTTTGTGTGCCTTGGAGTTATGTTTCTTACACTACGACACTATACATTTATAGCAGACTGTGCTTAGGTGCTCTTCAGCTTTGGCTCTGGAGACAACAGTCAGGCAAGTTGTTTATTTGATGGAAAAGCTTGAAAGTCTCTCAGAGTCTAGTTGGTTTTGGATGACTTGATGTTTGGCAGGAACGCGAAGAAGTCCTATCACAAGAACGAGCCAGACCAAGCTGCTAAATCCAGGGCAGCAAAAGGCAAAGCTGACCCGAAGCCAAAGGCTAAGGGCAATTGCGAGCAGGAAGGGGATACCGAGCCAGCGCGAAAGCGCTTACGGAGGGCAAAGTAATCCTGATTTTCTTCGACTATTTTGAGAGAAGTCTTGCACATTTAATTGGGGAGATTTATTCAAATCTCATTTGGGGTCAAGCGAAGCAAGCATCATGTGCGAAGCACGTGCGTCTTTGTGGAAAACATTGTGGGTGCTTGCTGAAGTGGCCAATTGCACTTGCACGCTCAAGCGCTTCAAGCCATTTCTTGCTAATGGGTGTGCCAGGTCCGGATGGCATTGTTAGACGGCTTGTCCAAAACGTTGCTGAGGGGGTCAGCACCTCAGCAATGTCAACCCTGTTTGGTCTACCACGTACAAGTGTATATTTCTGCCAGGCTCCTTGCACATCGTCTATCAACACAGCTCGCGCAGTTGTGGAAGAGGTGGGTCCAGGCGCCTCCTCCAGTTTGCGGGCTTTGGCTGGGGCAAAAGAAGCCCATTCAGAGGTGGGGCTCTGAAGCATGTTGTATTAGAAATGGGCACTTCAATTTGTTTGGAATGAAGCTTGCAAGTGTCAGGTGGAAGTGCACAAGCTAGCCTCCAAGCTCGGCTTAGCTTTGGAAGTTCCGTTCACAGAGATTACACTTCATGATGGTCGCAAATTCCCTGTACTGAAGCTTACGCATTGGATTCGACTAGTATTGAGTCTAGGTTTCGTTTATCCTGTATACTTTCAAATGTATTTTTCTTGAGTTAGTGACTTTCATTCCCAATTGGATATTTTATGTTTGCAACCCACTCCGTGCTTGAGGCGAATGGGAAACTGGCCACGACTTGCAGGGGAAGCTACCATGGCTGCTTCAGAAGAGGCATGGGCCACCTTCTGGAGCAGGTTTGAGGTACTCCATGGTTCTCATGATATTTTCCGCCGTGCGCGCAGTGGAGAGTTGAATCTGCGGCGCACTTGCGCTCTCTTTTGGCATGGTGATGAAGGTCGAGGTAAGCAGGGTTGTCAAAGAAACGTTGTTCAAAGGATTGAGTTTAGCCCCTGCAAAACATGTTGAACGCAAACCATGTTGGAAGGTCGTAAAAGAAATGCCGTCATGTGCCTAAGCACGCACAGCCCATTGGGAATGGGAGTTGAGATTGCCAAGACGCGCAAAAAGGTCTTAAAGCCCATGCTTAAGTTCAAACGCCAGGAGATGAATTACAAAGGACACACGTTTGCTACTCACTTTGTTCATGCCGTGATGCCAAAGGAGGCATATTTCAAAGATCCTGAAAACTTTCACAGCGTCTTGAACTTTTTGGCAGCAGACGCTACGCATGGTGTTGAGGAAGGGCTCACCCATTTGGGGGAACATTACTGGTTTGCTTGCATTGGCCTCAAGGGTGATGCTCCGTTCTTGGTGAAGGCTGGGCGACTACAAAGGTCCTTCTACAATTTGCCCAAGAAACCATTGAGTCAGACCCAGCAGAGAAAGTCCAAGGCACCAAACGGAATCTGCCATCTATGCATGGCAGGCTCTTCTCATGACCTGCCTTTTGAGGATTGTAGCGATGGGGCTTGTCACAACACAACCCTTGGTGATGTCAAACCTTGGGACCGTATGCCTGGGGTTCTGGTTTGCCCGCATGATCCTTTGCTGCCAGAAGGATACTTCTTCTTCGACCCCTGGCACTTGTTCCATTTAGGCGAAGGCAGAAACCTGGTAAGTTGTGGGATGCAACTTATTTTGCCATTGGCTGAAGGCACGAATGTGGACTCCAAGCTTCAATGTTTATTTGAAGACTACAGCCAGTGGTGTCAGCGCAGTCGTAGACAGAAGTATTTGATACAATTCAGAAAAGACTTCTTCCACTTGGAGGAGGGTGATTTTCCACGAGGGACATGGACAAAGGGGAACCTGACTACGTCCCTCCTCAAATGGCTTAGGAACTTCACGTGGAGACGTAGAGAAGACATTGTAGAAGGTTCGCTCTTGGCAGATTTTGTTCTTTGTCATTTATATATGTACATTTTTCCATTTTGTCAACTGATAGTTATGGCAAACATTGTTCTGCAGTTTCTGTCGTGACACATATATATATAGCTCTGCTAAACTGAGGCTGGTCTCGTCCCGCTCATCGATGATGCATATTCTTCTATGTATCGTCAGGGAGTGTGGATTCCAAAAGACCAAGCAAGAGTGATAGCAAACAAAGGAATGGGGTACCTTCTGGGGTTCATGATGCTGGCGGAGAAGGCTTATGAAGCTAAAGTTCCGCTATTCCCAATCGTGAGCAAGGCCCACGGTCTGGACCATGTGTTCAGAAGTTTGCGCTGGCAAAGTGATATATCAGACTTTGCCATGAACCCAATGATCTATGGTGTACAGTTACAGGAGGATCTAATAGGAAGATCATGTAAGCTGGCCAGGCGTGTTTCACCTAGGCAAACCGTTCTGCGAACACTTCAGAGATACTTGGAGGCGGCCCACGTAGCTTGGGAACGCGAGGGCTGGCGTTTGAGGGTATGAACTGCCTGTTTATATATAGTGTCCTATCTTCGAGCAACATCTAAAACAGAATGGACCCACAAAATGCTGGCTCACTCCGGTTTGTTGTATCCTTGGACCATCTTGGACCCGTTCAAAAGAGAATGGGATGATTGGCAAGGCACTCAGCAAGAAAGGTGCGGGCTGTGCAGATGGGAAAACCTAACTTTTCACATGGTACCCGTAATGCTATAAGCATTCTTGGGGTACCTAAGTTTTTGTAGGATCTGTGAGCAGGGGGTATAGAATTGTCAAATATGGCCAACAAACAATACATCCAGGACACGTGTGCACCTTCTAACTATATAACTGCTCCAACTTATTTTCAGGTATGTTCTGAGCCCTTTCACAGTTGTTGCTATTTGGGCGAAACCCTCTGGATGATCTGACTTGGCCTTCACCATACAAATGCCGCATAGTTCTTATAAAGAAGTGACGTAATCATGTGTAAACACGTGTATATAAACATATCTGCACCTGGAAGTTTCGACTTCATGAATCTGATTGTGAATATATCCGCATTACCTTGAAGATTTGATGAGATATTCCGCCGAAAAGCCACTGTTTTTTAGAGCTTCACAGAAATGCCACTCAACTTCAGCAAGAAATGCACACATATGCACACATACGCATACAAAAAAGAAGCTTCAACCATGTTGCAACCACCACCTCAACGCTGCAAACTCTGGCAGCTCCGGAGCTGGCTTCGATACCGTGTGAATTCATCAGCTCTTCAAGGTTGCCAAACACTGGCAGCGACCCCAAACCCTCAAGCTCTTATCCCAAACACTCCATGTATGGAATAGTATAATGACATACATTCACGGGTGAATGTATAATGGAACAATATATACATGGAGTGTTAGGTCTTGAGCGAAGCAAGAACGTGTTTTTCCTTTTGCATGCTTGTACAGAAACCAAGCTGCCAATGAAGTGTTCCGTTTCGGCTTTTGGCGGCCGGATCGTCGAACAAAGGCCTTGTATTCGATAGGTAAATCGAAAGCAGGGCATTCGAACTGGCAGTTGATTCGCTCGGTAGACCTAACCAAAACCATTGGCCGAGTGATCTAAAGCCTCACAGCTGCTCCCAACAGGTACAAGCGGGTCCAGTGCCTTTCTCAGTGCCAAATCAATGAACTTGACATCATTTGGTTGACTTGTCACAAAGAAGACAAGTGGTAAATATTAGTATACAGCGCTTCAATGTGTCCCATAAACCTCAAAATGATAAAAAAGGAAACCCACCTCAGTCTTATAATCCATTGGGGGACTGCCCGTTTGACCTTGCTGTCTGACCCGTCTCCGCGCGTGCATCGTCGCCTCGCTGAGCAAAGTCTCCAGATTTCCACCTCGGCAAGGCTGCGATGACAGGGTCCTGTCAGCCACCGTTGAGAACACTGTGAAACGATCAGAACTTGACCCAAAAGCCCTCCCCAAATTCGAAGTGTTTTGTCAAAGTTCTGGAACCGGTTCACAATTTGTAGTAGTCGTAGTAGTAGTAGTAGTAGTTGTTGTTGTTCCAGGTATCCTGGATGTTTTTGTGCTTAGCATCTTCTTTCACGGGCACGGAGCTCCCTAATAACCTCCGAGACACCACCACAAAGCCAGCTCCGAATGGCGCTATCCGCATTCAGCCTCAGTGTGACACAACGAAGGTGTATGGAAAATGGTGGTTGAATGAGGTTGGATGGTTTGTATCCGATGGTTGGTGGAGGGGTTTATGGTACTTAATGCCTCTTGAGTGGCAAGTAAATCACTGTATGTTATAAAATATGTGGCTGTGGGTCAAAACCAGGAGATCTTGGCTGACCTGCCTGCAAGGTCAAGCTACATGGTGTTGCATCCTGTTGAAATCCAAAAACGCCTTGACTGCTGGACAATGCTGCCCGAACCCTGGGTTGCCCCGAATTTTGATCCGGACGGGAACAAACAATCTGACCAAATTGGAGCCCTGCAAGTTGGGATGAATCACCCACATTTATCCAACATGTCCCAAGCTTGCAAATGAAGTCCACGTCAGATGTGCAGATTAAGCGAGTTGCAAATAACTTGATAACTTGATACGTCTGTTCACATCCATAGCGACCCGGGTCTGACAGTTCCAACTCGTTGGGCCTGGAAAGTAGCACAGTCAGTCGCCACACGGTACACCAAGTGGTGCGACAGGTGCCAAAGCAAGGAGTTGCTCGGCCTGAGGGATACCTCCAAGTTTGTTCAGGGGGAAATGGCTGCACGAACTCTGGGCCCTGCATGAAGTCCACATTCCCTGCAAAGGTTTGAACGTGATCATGGCCGAGGCCGATCCCTTCGTAATTCTCTCGGATCTGATTGGACCTGGTCACGCAGCCACGCAGCTAGGGTTCCACAAACCACACGAGCCATCAACACACGAGCCAAACAGGCTGAACCCCCATCCTTGAGATCGGTTCAAGAGGCCGATCCTCAACCTTTTTGGGGTGCAAAAACACGTCTTTTGCTTTGGAGGTCCAAGAAACGCTCGCAGGTGGAGTGGAATCCTGGAGAGGTGTGTCCGAGGTGTCCGAGGCCCGGTTTGGGAGGCTTGTGAAGTTCACCTCTCAAGAACTACTAGTTAACAAAAAACTTCACGATATCTAGTTTCTCACTCTTTCATTCTATTTCTATACATCCCTAGGGCGACTTCACCACATCCTCAGGTTCGGTGGGACAGGGGTGGGTGCCAAGGCAAGTCTGTTCCTACCTTCTGAGGATGTGGGCCAGAAGCCCTCGGGCATAGATAGGTTGTTGGGAGTTGCCTTCTGAATACTTATTTCCAGTCCAATCATAGAAGCCCGATATGATACTTGTCGATTGTTTTTCATCCAACAACGGGGAACAAGGTCCATCTGTGCTAGTTTCTGTGAGACTTCCTTTCTGCCCACGTTGCTTGATAGGATCGGGCTTGTTTTGTCGGTACCATCCATGTTCCCAAAGTACCAACCAACTTCCTCCATGGGAAACTTATGGGGCAGTTTCGTCCGTGTTACTACTGCTTTTTCTTGGCTTAGAGGACATGACGGGCTCGACGTTCGAGGTTTGTCTAAACACTGCGTAGAATGGGTTTTCTTGGCCGTTGCGATGCAAAGCTGCAACGACAGCACGTTGAAGGCCTCGCAGCGTTGTGGTTCCGCCAACATCCAGGGTTGGACTCAATGCTCGAGGCTGTCAGAATACATAGAGAAGCTGAGACACTTGCCCGCCAGCTCAAATGTACAGTGAGCTCAAATGGCTCAATTGGGAACAAGACTGATGTCTGGCGCCTGGAAAATGAGCCTTGGCAAGCTGTACATGGAGCAGGCGAGTGGGTTGGGTCCGTCAAAACGCATTCAACTTATCGTCTTGCAACTCATGAGTTGCAAGACGATAAGTTGAGTGTCCGGAAAGCCACGAAGCGCTGTAAAACACAGGGGTTTTCACCCTCGGTGTGTTGCGTTCGGGGCCAACCCCCCCCGTTTACCCAACATGTTGCAACACTGAACCATCTGTGGCTCGTGGTTCGTGCTTGGTCCGTGCTCAGCTGGTCTTTCTCAATGAACCATAAATACCATAATTGCATGATGCTCAAACGTCTTAAACAGAAGGTTCAACAACAACCTCAACCCAAATCTTCAGAACCAGAACTGCATGGTCGTCTCTCTCCCACTAAAAATAAGTCATAAACCAATGCATGCTTCCAACCACAAACAAAAACCATCTCGCGGCGGGTAGCCAGCCGTGGGACCGGGTTCATGGACGTCCCGTCCCTCCACCGACACTGTCCCGTCCCTCTCTCTCCTGGAGCGCAGGTAGCCGATGACCGTGACATGGGTTCGCACCCGTCGGACCTCGGACCGTCCGCGTGACCGGTCCGCGATGGCGAGCGCGGCGAGCGCGGGTCCGCGCGGTGGGTGACGCGAGCTCGCTCGCTCGCTCGCAGCTCGCAGCGGTGACAAAGCACGCGGGTGGTGAGTGGATCGGGTTGTTGCTGTTTTGGCCAGGTTTGGCTCGGATGGTGGGAGAAACGATCTGAAGCAAACTTATAAGGAAGAAAAGAACGTTCAACAAACCGCAAAGAAAACTTAATAAGCATCTAAAAAAACGTAAATTTGCATAAACTACAGACCTGAACAATACCCGAACATTCATTCAATCAACACTCAAAACAAAAAAGGCAAACATCATGGATTGAGAGTAGATGGCACAACTCCCAAGTGTTTGTGGTATATATCTGGACACCTATTCGCTTTCAAACATCTTTGGGGGCCAAGAGCCAAACCTCTTTTCACCACTGCGACAGCCCAAACCTCAGGTCCCAGTGGCACGAGCCGTGAGGTTGTTGATCTTCCGCAACAGGGCCGTGTGCGGCAACGACTCCAACTCCTTGAAGCGGCGGGGCTTGAAGCGGTGCTGAGTTTCGTTTCGAGTGGGCCACATCTGCATAAAATCATACAATGTTCTATCAAATCATCAAACGCAAAACATCATGCACGTTTCTGTATGAGATTTGGAACAGAACAGTGCTAGCTTTGTCGCTGGTCCCTCTTTGGAGCGACTGCTGACACCGAACATGATAACCACATCAACCGCATTCATCTTCCAGACAGAAGAGGTTCCTGCATGTGTAATCCTATTTGGAGATGCGGTGTCATGCGGTGCCTGTTGCGTTGCTTACCCGCCACTCTGACGTCGGCCACGCTAGAACGCCGCCCAAGTTCACTCCGGTGCCAGCCGGAAGCCGTCCCAAACTGCTTCTGTCCGCCGTCCACAATGATCCAAATACCCATCAGCCCAACACCCAGAAAGACCCCTTTTCAAAGACGCCAAGTGGGGTCTTTGAAAGCATCGGTCAGTCCGTTCTGGAGTGCAATCACCTTCAAAGGTAGTGACTCCCTGCAAACCTTCGGTGTTCTTGAGCGTACGACTGGCTTCTGAGGGTTGGTGTTGGGGACGTCGGGACGCAGCGACGCACGGGTCCTTGAGGACTGCGGCTTTATCCTCTTCGAACAAAGTCACGTGGTCCTGTGACGTCTGTTCCGTGGTGTCATGGAAGGTCGTGACGTCTTGGAAAAGATCGTCACGTCAAGACTGGAAGATTTGCCTAATGACCATTAAATAGACCTACCCTAAATAGAGTTAGCCAACTCTGGCCCTGATTAATAAACCTACCCAAAATAAAGTTAGACATTTCACTGAAATAAAATAATAAACTGATAAACAACAACTAATTCAATCCTAATTCTATTCAAACTCAATTCCCATTCAATTGACGTTAAACCAAACTTTAAATCAATTTCAATTCTATGTTGAACACTAATTCCCTGTTATTTAACATTACTTTTAATAAGGGCTCATTTCATTTCTACTTTACATTCTTCTTGGATCCTGGGATTAACTTGATTTAGAGTAAACCAACATTTCAAAAAATAACTAGCTTAGTAATCATGTCAACATTACATGGATGGCTTTAAAGATGGTTTTAAAACGGTCAATGTATATATAGAACTATCCTATGCATGGATTCTTGGATATTGTCGGGGTTTGATCTTTAATGTTCCTTTAAACCGGAACTCATCCGCTCTAAACCGATCTGCCATGGGGGCCGCAAAAAGCAATGTTCCACCGAGTTCGGAAGGCAGGCCTTGTGCTTTCAAGGGTAAGCATGTGAACAACGCGTCTCTACGCACTCCACTTAAGGAATGACTGACCAGTTCTAGTAGCGTGACATCAGTTTGATGGGTGGAGATGCTGAGATGATGTGAAATCGTGACGAGAAATGTGATGAGCCTCTCCCTAAATGAGTGGCGTTACAAACGTATTGGCCTCTCTTACAACACTTGGAGATTGATTGCTAGAGACACTCCGATAGACATGGAATCTTAAATTGTACCGCCAAGGTCCTTCAAGAAAGCATCATCAGTTTGGAATGGTGTGGACTGGGGCTGAATGATCGGCGGTCACATCTACAACTCCAACCTTGACTCTTCAGAGCCGAGAATTCACTAAGCAAGGATTATAGGTTATAGGGGAGGGTTGAACCTGCATCACACCCAGTCAGTCGAATTCAACAACATGTCACACGAATCAAGAAATCTCCACGTGTGGGCAAACCCATGCAAACGATAAACCAACTGCACTTCGACAAACATATCACAATGCAAGGTTGATGGATCGGAAATAATTGTAATTGTGTTCTCGCCTTTCATGTGAGATCGCAAATCCCCCTCCAATCCGCTCCCCTTTCACAATCAAAAGGCACGGCACAGCACTCATTGTATAGATCCTTCCTTCTGACCCGTTATGAGAGATGACCTGTGATGACACGTCATGCGTCACCTTCAAGCGATAGGGCTAAACATGGCTAAACCCTCCAATAGACTCCCCAAACCCCCACCGTCACCGTGTCACCACCATCCCTGCGTCCCGTCCGACGTCAGTCCTTGAAGCGATAGGGCTCATTCCAAAAGGAACTCACGAAGACGCGCGCCACCTCTGGGGTCTGAAAGACCTGGTGGTCGCGACGTGGCCAAGTCGATGGCACTTCGTGGTCGGGAACGGAAAGGGCGCCCCGCAAAAGGGGGGAGACCACTGGAGCTTTTCATAGGCAACACTTACCCATGGCTCAAATGATCTCAGCGCTGCAAATGTCTGTCAAAAGGCAAGTATGGAGACCCATCGTCCGCAAGCTGTGGGGGGTCAAAGGGTCAAAGGGTCAAATCTCCTTGGAGCCATGGGCCTCAAAGATTCATTCCAACAGCGGAACGCAAATGTCTGGGGTGGGGCTCGTGAGGCAAAAGGTCTGATGGTCCTTGAGGGATCGTTGGGTTTAGCACTGGGTGGCAGTGGCAGTGGGTAGTTACTCTCATGAAAAGATCTCTACAGCAATACTGTAGTTGTTTGGGCTCGAGTCTTGGCCTGGGAGATCACCGAACAATGACAAATGACATGTTCACTCCTGCTGACCACGCTAAATGAACACCCATTCTATGTCCCGAATCGTAATGATATCTCGATCTTAATCAGAAGCATCCGCGCCAGTCACGGTCAAGCCAAGTCTCCATGGCAAATGTGTCTGAGCATTTCAGGAGACATGATCCAGTCAGACACATTTGCCATGGAGACTTGGCTTGACCGTGTGCATTTTCTGTCTCGTGTCCCCGTGTGTCCCTTTTCCGTCTTAGTCACATGGTCGGTTTTTCGGAATGCAACCGTCCCACCTCCGGCGCTCCTCACTTGGCACTGCGCCAACGGAACAGCCCACCGGCGGCCTTGCCGACGTTCCACAGCAAAGCGCCGTAGACGCGCACCAAATTGGCCGCATCGATCTGGTCCGCCTTCGTGCCCGCCGCGCACGTTCGACGTCGCGCAACGGTGAAGGTCTGACAAACACGACGGATTCGTAGGCTGAAAGGAAGGCGAACAAGACTGGGCTGGTCTGTTGCTTCGAGGATTCGTCCAGACTTCGTCCGACGTGGGAGTTTTCTTTCGTTAGCTTGGTCCCGGTTTTCGGCAGAGTGTCGACAAGCACAGCCAATGTCGACGCCGGTGGTTCAACATAGTTTCTGGGTGTCTTACAGAGTATCCTACTTCCATTAAGCTCACACAAGTATAGCCACAAATCAGGTCATCTCATCGGTTTTCGTACACAAACTGACTTGCAGTGTCTTCCCAATTTTGCGGAGTCTTCCGAATCCCCGACCCACGCGCACCGAGTCGGTTTTATGGTCCCAACACCGTCGACTCGGGGCCTTGTTCAGGACGCAACGCACTTTGTTCGCATGAGGTCTCAAGACCTGGACGAAGATGACGAAGTACGTACACTGCCCCGCACGTGGTCCGCGGGAGCGAGTGGTGGAAATCAGAAATAATCTCAACGCGCGTGCGGTGGACCCCACGGGTCCAGTCACCCAGGTGAAGTCTCTTGGGTCTGGAAACCTGAGCTTTGACCAGTGCTTTTTGTGTGGCCAAATCATGCCAAATCCAGAAAACGGTGTTTGATCTGTAGAGTATATATAGTTTATTGGTTGGTGGACTGCCAATACAACAATGTATATAATGACATGTATTTGCTTTGTTGCTTATTTCGGTGTCTTGCCGCTTATTGTTCATCAAACCTACTGTTTCACCTGGCAACCCTAGATAGGGATACAAGTCTGAGGCGAATCTACCGCTGATGCTATAATGATGAGACCAAACTCAACACAACTGAGCAACATATGTCTAAATGTTTACCAAATTCACTGGTTGAAGGGTGACAACCGTCACTATCATGCCACCTTTGATGGATGGTCTCTGGTTCCAGAAAATCAATGGAAGCCAAACGTCCGAGAACACATTTATTTTTTTGGAGGCCGGCGGAACATGTACCATGCTCAAATAACACAGGAATGTGCAAACTGGAGGGGTTGTTTTCAAAATCCCATTCCAAGATTCCACGATCGGCTGGTGCTTTGCTTAGGCCCTAGAAGTCCAAAGTTTATATTACACCACCGAAGCAAACCAACAATTCTTTTCGGTTCACCTAAACACCATCAATATGGAGACCAGGATTGCAAGAAACGAGACGATCAAACTTCGCCTGGAAAAAGGCAAAGCCACCCCAAATCCCGCTTAAAAAGCAAGCGCCAAACAACGCCTGGCCTGACAGTCGCTCAAATCATACCCAACAAAACCTCACCAAATGTCTGGCCAGGGCATTCCCTTTTGGGGCTAGATAGCCAATTGGGTGTGCATTGCAAAATGGTCTAACATGGTGTAACATTTGCCTTGCATTGCCTTGCCCTATCTATTTGGCTTTGGATCAAAAACCTGGAGCCCGGACCTCACCCGAAAGGGTTGACCTTTTGGTGTCCTGGTCATGTCATTTCCTGCGGTCCGTGTGAAGTTCGGAAACTGGGGGGTGAGGGATCAAAAAACCATTGGGATCAAACGAAATATGTTTCCGGAGATCAAAAGTACAATGAAATAAGGATCAACACAAAAATCTCAAACAAACATGAACTAGTAGTATTTAATAAAAACTATGCAAAAAAAATCAAAGGGATCGACAAGAAAATTGAATAAGGATCCAACACATATTTAATTCACTTGTGCTGGAGTGGTCACCGACCAGGATATTGAGCGACCAAAGAGACCAAGGGACAAGGGTACCAAGGGACGGGACCAACGGACTAGGGGACCAAGGGACCAGGACATCAAGGAAGACCAAGGGACCAAGAGACCAGAGGGACCAAGAGATCAAAAGGACCAAGGGATCAGGGGACCAAGAGAGGACTATAGGAGACCAAGGGACCAGGGGACCGGAGCGGACGAGGGGGACCAAGGGACAAATGGACCAAAGGACTAAGAGGACCAAGGACCTTTTTTCTATGCCTCTGAATGTTTTTTGATGCCTGTGCTGCGCTCATCTGGAAACAACCAATTCCATTCTTCGGCAAGCACAGGGAGAAGTGAAAGTTATCCCTTGCCATCCCTTTCCCCTATTTCCGCAGGGTAACTCCAATTAAAGAAGTCATTCCTAAGTCATCCCGTTGAAGCTTTCCCCAATGGCAACGCAGGATTGATGTACTTATTTTGCGATCATTTTGGTGGGCTAACTTTGGAAATCAATGGTTTTAGCTTGTGTCAAACAATGGATATTTCCGCTAATTCATACGGTTTGGGAATGCATCTGCCCTTGTCAACGCTTATCTAGACAGGGTTTCACAGGTCAGCTTACAGCCCACAACCTATACTTCTTCTGGGGGTATACAGTCCGTGCTGCAATGAAAGATGATCGGCCATCCTTGGCGTTATGGATGTTGGGTTTTATGATTTTCATCAAATCCGCCAGTCCATTGGACTTGTTTGCCTCTCTTTATAAGTCCGACAAGGAAATGACCGGTCTTGCTGACCGGTTCTTGCCCTGCCAGTATGCCTCCAAAAACTTTTGGGCACCTTCAGTGCTCTCAAGATCAAAATCCTCAGGAGATTCCTCGGACTCTTGCAAGTTGTCTTTCTGTTGCGTCGCTGGTGTCTTGGGCGCACCCGCTTGGAGTTTGCTCCAAAAGAAAATCTCTTTGAGACCACTGCCGGGGTTGCAGGCGCTGCTAAACCGGGAGTTTGCGGAGCCGCCACAGGAGCTGGAGTGGGAGTTGGAGCACCAGGCGCTCCCTGAGTCTTCGATCCTCTAGCTCGCGCACTGGCCAGGCAGTCACCAGTAGACGCCAACAACTTTTCCTGAATTCGTTTGCAGGGTCAATGCTCTCTGTCATACCTGGGCCATGCACATGGTATGTGCATTCAATGGAACTGTTCGTATTCATACCCGTACACCCAATGCCGGGAAAAACGTAAACAAATAAGTGAGAATTTCGTCAAAATACCATTCACACAACCAGGCTTCTTCCCAGGTCCTGTGAGAAGCAACTCCTCAGCGTCAAACTTATCATTCTCAGCGCCACAGGAAGGATAATACTTGAAGGTGACACTGAACACGTTTTTGCACTCTGGATTGCTGCATTTTCTTTTTTGGGCGACACGGCGACACTCTGGTAACCAAATCAAGAGCTGCTGCGCCTTTGGTTTGTGGGGTCTCTTCAAGATGCACTCCCGATCTCTTGCTTTGAAAGCATTCATCAAAGCGGTCGATCAAGACCTTGTTCCTGTTGATGCGTTCTCCAGGTACTAGCCCAACGTGCGCCCATCCTGCAGCCGCGTGTTTCGAGGAAAGGCTTTCTGTGACGATCTGATTTAAAGCTCTGCGAGCGGGAATGATTCCCAAATCCGCATTCTGCTGCACAGCAAACTGGCGCTTAAAGGAAGACTATAAGGAAGACATCCTAGAATGCGGCTGCTGATCTAAAGCACACCTGAGAAGCTGCAAAACGAAAGCCAGCGCTTCCCTTTCTCGACAACTGCGCGTCGAAGCAATCAAATGAGCTCGCGCAGCCGCTTGCGGCCGCATGTCAAATCTGCTTCATGTCTTGTTCTGCCCACACATAGGTAACCATGCAAAAGCCAAAAAACACTCTTGCATCACCACCCGCTCCAAAATCACTAAAACATCACCTCCAAGAGTTTACGTATACCTTTCTCGGGCCACCCCCCCCGACCCCCGACCGACTTCACACATAGATAATTTCCATCCACATTCAGATGAAGCAAAAGCCAAACAATGCACCAAAATTCGAGGTGGCCTGGGACCAGAGGCTCGCTGCCCGAAACTATATGTTCAGGCCACCTCAGACATGAAGATATGCGAAGCAAGGGTCCTGAGGTGTCTCTGTGACAAGGCTTTTGTTAAAACAGACAGTTTTTCAAGCTAAATTCAAGGTGGCCTGAGACCAGGGTTTGCTGCCCTAAAACACTCTGTTCAGGCCACCTTAAAAATGAAGGTCTGCGAAGCGAGAGCAGAGGATGCACATTGTCCTTCTGCTGCTTGAATGTGGCCTTTTGTTTACTTAAAAGTTCAAGACCTCCCAGCTGTTTCCACCTCTTCGCTTCCCAGTCTTCCCAGGGTTCATATAGGGAGCCAGGCCATTTTCAGAATCTTTTGGATTTGAGCTGATCGAGTTCCTATTGAAGGGTATATGTTCTCGTTGGCGAGTGCGTCACCACCCGCTCCAAAAGCATCAAAGCATCACCTTCCAGAGTTTACGTATATCTTTCTCGAGCCACACATGCACAGCAAACCACAGCTATGAAGTCTCATTCGTGCTTTGAACTGGTATAGTATAGGTGTGTCAGAGGTATAGCAACATAGCATTCATACGGACCCACGGTAGCTACAATTCTGTTCACAGGTATCGCGCGCATGAGGCTTCAAAGCTGCGGATTGCTGTGCGTGTGTAGAGGTTATCGAGCGGTTGACGGAAAGGGAACTTGAAGTATACTATACCTGGTAGCTGCACTATAGCCACCCTGGGTCTCTATACCTGGCAAGGTGCCAACTACACCTTTCCATTCAGATGATGCAAACGATGCAAATTGCATTTCTTGCATCACCACCCGTCAAAAATCACCTCCAACACAACCTCAAAAAAGCTTCCCTCGACGCACCCTCCTCCCCCAGCATGTGCCGAGTTTACGTGTACCTTTTGCGGGCCACCCCCCCCAGACCCCCCAACTACTCACTTCGTTCGCCAAACACAACTCCGCTGGCGCCTTCTACGAAGGCTGGCTTTCGTAAAAGTGCTTTTGTGCAATAGCTTGGTATCAGAAATACATCACAGCCATGCCGGTCGCAAACAAAAACGCCGTCTCCACCGATTTAGGTGAAGAAGACTGCCTTAGCACCAGAGCTTTTTGTTGGGCAAGACTTTTGTTGCCGGATCGCTTCGCACCGAGCACAACACGAACGGGACGCGCCTCCATGACCTGCTGAAACTCGTCAGAGATGTCCAGCTTATGAGCATCGAACCTTGGCGTCGTGGACGAGAAAGGCCGTGTCGCGGCAGGTGGTCTTCTAGTTGCGCCAGGGGTCGCTGGGGATGGTGAATTTCTCCGAGCTGAGAAGGATAAGAATCGAAAGTCAGAAGTCCAACACCACGAAGAAAGATTTCCTTGGGGAGAGGAAACCATCTGTTTTGCTTTTTCCTGGGGTCTTTTGAGGGCAATCTGTAGAGTACAGCGAATATATGATGGAACATTGTAAACATCTGGTATAAATGACGCGGATCTCCAAATCAAGTATCATGGAGGGTATATATTTCTAGCCATTCCTTCGAAGGCGAGGTATCATGCCAAAGCACCAGCGGTTCTTGTACTGGCCGCCAAAGCCCCAGGTCAGAATCACTCGCATCACATGATCGGATTCCACTCCCCTATGCCACACACTCTGAGATGGTGATTAAACACTCTTTTGATGTATGCTTGGAAGGTCCAGTCATAAAGCGGCAGTGGCTCCAATGTCCTTTCCTTCCGCATGTCGCACTATGACCAATCACCACCAACCAGCCCGAGGTCAGGTGAGCCCACGTGAGCAAAACGAGGTCAGCCCGCTCCGCCATCCATGCGCTGATCTTCC